AGTTTAGGAGTTTTAGATTTTTAGGGGTTTGAGGTTTTAGGGTTCAGGGGTTTAGGGGTTTTAGGGTTTAGGGTTGAGGTTTTAGGGTTTAGGGTTAGGGGTTTAGGGGTTTAGGGGTTTTAGGTTGCTGCTCAGGGGTTCCCAAGAAAGTGCACTGAAGCCTGCAGGCTGTAGGGGTTTTGGGGGTTTTAGGCTGTAGGGGCTTTAGGGTTTAGGTTTTAGGGTTTAGGTTTTAGGGTTTAGGGTTTAGGTTTTTGGGTTTAGGGTTTAGGTTTCCGGGTTCAGGGTTTAGGTTTTATAATTAGGGTTTAGCGGTTTATGCTCAAGGTTTTTAGGGTTCAGGGGTTTGCATTTCAGGGGCTGAGGGTTTTAGGGTGTAGGGGTTCAGGGTTTAGGGTTTTAGGCTTTAGGGTTCAGGGTGTAGGGCGTAGTAGGTATAGCAGACCCCTACTTTCCTAAACCTCTTTCCCACAGACCCCAATACCCCTTAATTAAGGAACGACATACCTTAGATTATAGTAGGATCCCTAATATGACTTAAGGTACATTCCTGAATTAAGGGATATTGGAGTCTCTGGGTTCCTAAAGCCCAAAACCCCACAACCCTAAAGCCTAAACCCTAAAACCCTAAAACCCTAAGACCCTAAACCCTAAAGCCCTAAAGCCCTAAACCTTAAAGCCCTAAACCCCCACAAGCCTGAACCCCAAGTCCCCTAAACCCTGAGTTGAAAGTCTACGGCCCAGAGCCAAAACAGATATAAACCTGGTGTAGCGGGGCTGTTCTGGAAGTGAGCTCTTTTGGAGAAGGGGGGATCATCTCTGTACATATAACAATAGAATTGAATAAGAAAAGCGAAAAAAGTAAGAAGAGGAACGGATTGAAATTAGTTGTCGAGGCCCCTACATAGTATAGCCTGTCTACTTCGCTGAACTCGTCCCAGAGGTCCCCTGGCTCTTGGTTTAAGGTCTACGGTTTTGGGATTCAAGCCTTGGGCTGGGTCTTGGGCTGGGATAGTCGTAACGCAGCTGGGTTCATGACTACTGGCTTCTTGGGTTATCTTGGGTTAAACTCCCCAAGAGCTATAGAATGCAGAACCTTCAGCCTTAAGAAGGCATCTTCCCTGGGTAGCATCCCGAAGCTTTGTGTTTTTTAGCGTTTAGGAACTAGGGTTTCGGGTTTTGGGTAATTAAACAGGGCTTCTTAGACAGGTGGATCGTCCGTCGTTCAACGCCCTTCACCTCTCAGCGGCCTTTACGCGGTTGGCCTTCTTCACGAAGCGGCGGAAGCTGAACGCTGCAGATGTTCGGAGCCCTTTGTGGACCAGGTTGTCTGCCAGACTCCACCTACTGCTCAAGCAGCCTGGCTAATTTACTTAGAGTCGCCCTGGAAAAAGGTTTAGGGGTATATTGAGGTACATTCTACTACTGCAGTAGAACTATGCAGGACAGCGTAAGAAATGGGAGCATCATTCTTGCAGTTATGTATAGGAAACCTTAAGAAACATGGCTACACATTCGTCAGACGTCTTAGTATAGTAAGTAGGGATATGAACCCGGCCAAACCACCCAAAACCCTTAATCTTTTAACCCTGAACCTTAATCCATGCCTAAAGCCGTGAACCAGCGTACTGCCCTGACGGTTTACGTATCTGAGGCATGGAAAGATCCCACCGCGTGCAGCTGCTAACATCCTGTGGTCCATCGTTCCAGCCCCTTCGGCGGTGAATGAACCCTATGGAACAGAACCCTGAACCCTAGAGTTTTTTTTCTGTTGGGTGTCAGGATCATGCGCATCTTCCTTCGTACTACCTATATGTCATGCCTAAAGCCCTACGGATGTAGAGCTCTTCAGTCTGAGGTCTTTGTACATATATTTCGGAAGGTTTGCGGTGCTAACCCTAAGGGTCCATGGGCCCAAATATTTTTTTTCGGCCCAAGAGTACCTATAGAAGGAGTACTTTAAGGCCAAACGATACACTATTTGGGTACATGGACCCTTAGGGTAAGCAACCTCGATCCCTAGACTCGCAGAATCTGAACGACAAGGTCTCGCAAGCATTTGGCAAGCAGCTTCCCTGGACTACCCCATCTTTGATCCGCTACGTGAAGGACAGGATACAGCAAATCTATGACCCGAAAGGGTCCCTGTGCTTATATATTAACATAATATATACTTTGGCTCAAAAGTACTGCCTATTTATATATAGGCCCTACACCCTAAACCCTAAACCCCTAAACCCTAAACCCCTAAACCCCTAAACCCTATGCCCTATACGTACCTTTGGCCCAAAGTATACAGAAAGCTATAGAGAGCAAGGAGCCTTAGGGTGAAAAGCTGGACTTGAGAACTTGGAGAAGCCTGAGAACCCTGAGCTCTAAGAACCCTGCTCGCAGTAGGCTTAGTGGTTTCAGGGGGTTTCAGGGGGTTTAGGGGGTTTTAGGGTCTAGGGTTCAGGGGTTTTAGGGTTTTAGGGTTTTTAGGGTTTAGGGGGTTTTAGGGTTGTAGGGTTTTAGGGTGGTGTGAATTCCTTAAAGTTGTGGGGGGGGGGGTAGGTGGTTGCGCCCCGACGCCCAAACCTAACATCCCTTGTATACGGTCTTAGAAAGGTTCATAGGGATTCTACGTAATCCCAAACCCCAACATGAAACGTACAAACAATCTGGGCCGAGCCCGCTTCTTCTTGTTGGTAAGACCCTTGCCCGCGTAGTACCCCAAGAAGCCCGAAGCCCCATCCTGAGCAAGGACAAGGCCGGATCTATGAATGCCTTTGACCTGGCAAACTCCCTCTGGGCTGTCGCAAGACTTCAGGAAGTGGAGCCACAGGTCCTCACAGCTGCGCCTCAGCTGCTGTTTCGTTCGGGGGAGCTCCAAGGCTTCTATACATGTGGGTAGCTCTTTCTTTAAATTAGGGTCCGTCTTAGTATCCTTCTTATAAGGGTGCCGTACTATATTGGGGACCCAAAAAGGGACCCTGATGTGGAGAACTACCCCATGTGTTCGGTTACGGGTTGTGTGGGGGGTTCCACAAGGGCTTAGGTGTGGAGTTTAGGGATTCGCGCGCTTGCGGAGGCTGAACAATCAGTTTTGTTCCTTGTTCCTAAACATACCTCTAAGCCCTTCTTGGAGCAACAACAACGAGCAGCTACAATCCTACTCTAACGTAGTGGTAGCCCGTACAGTATTCTTGTATATAACCCTTACCGAAACCCCTAAGGCAACCCCAACCCTAAACCCTGAACCCCCGAACCCGAGACCCTAAACCCTAGACCCTCCACCCTAGTTAGCCTAGACCCTAAACCCTAATCCCTAAACACCAGACCCTGAACCGTACCTACCATTTTAAGGATTTATATAAAGAATTCATAATAAGGAACTCCAGAAACGCAGATTCTTTAGGGTCCAGGTAAACCCTAATCCCTAAACCCTAGACCCTGAACCGCAAGTGAGGTGCCTGCCCTGGCTGCTCATATTCCAAGCCAGGTCTCGGAGTTCGTTCCACAAGCATCTGGGCTCGGTTTAGAGTTTAGGCTTTAGGGCGTTTAGCGTTTAGGGTTTAGGG